CATCACCCGACCTTGGCTACTGACCCACACCCATCCTGGGCCAAAGAACAGCACCCATCCTTGGGCAACGAACAGCACCCATCCTGGGCTAGTGACCAGCAGCCATCCTGGGCCAGTGACGAGCACCCATCTTTGGCTAGTGACTTGCACCCATCCTGAGCCAGTGACCATCACCCATCCTTGGCTACTGACCAGCACCCATCCTGGGCCAGCAACCAGCACCCATCCTTGGCTAGTGACCAGCACCCATCCTGTGTCAGCAACCAGCACCCATCCTGGGCCAAAGAACAGCACCCATCCTTGGGCAACGACCAGCACCCATCCTGGGCTAGTGACCAGCACCCATCCTGGGCCAGCAACCAGCACCCAAACTGAGCCAGTGACCAGCACCCATCCTGGGCCACAGATCAGCACCCATCCTGAGCCAGTGACCATCACCCATCCTTGGCTAGTGACCCGCACCCATCACTGGCCAACCTGAAGGCCCCTCACCTCCGCGTCGGACTCGAAAAATCCATCCACCTGCAAGCCCAAATCGGGCTACCGCGAGCCAAAGCTTTGTTTGGAGGCCGGGAAAAGGGGGGACGGGGGGAAAAAGGGAAGGAATGGATGAGAAACGGAACAAAAAGGAGATGAAGTCATTCATTAACCGCGAGGAAGAGGAAGAGGAGGAAGAGGAAGAGGAAGCGGAAGTGGAGGAAGAGGAAGCGGAAGTGGAGGAAGAGGAAGAGGAAGAGGAGGTCGTCGATGGCAACGTACCAAAGAGTGTAAGGGACCTTCATAATTGGGAGATGATGACGCTTGACCTCCATTTCTAGACCAAACAGCTGTGCCTGCTAACAGCAAAATCGGAATTACCGTTAGAAAAACACAAAAGGAAAAAAAAATCATTGCGATTTTGGCGGCTCGCTTCGATTTTGTCGAGGAAGGGGAGGGAAGGGATGAGGTGGAAAAGGGGCGAAATCGGCAGCGCGATGGCGTGAATACGAGGGCAATTTTCTCCCCCGCAGCAAAAAAGAAAAAACCCAGCGACGACGACGACGACGACGACGTCAACAAAAAAAAAAAGGGGGAAGAAGTGAAAGAAGCTTGGGAAAAAGAGAATTATTTGAAGGACAATACCTGAGAGAGAAGGGGGAGAACCGACAGGAGTTGAAGGATTTGATGGGAAGCTGGTGTTGGTGTGATCTGGAGAATAGATCTTTAATAAGAGACGATAGACGGTTAATTGGGAGGGCAGCGCAAACGGACGCGGGGCTGCGAAATCGGGGGGGGGGAATTGAAATTAAAGCCGCTTTGACGGGCGGACGAGTCGTTAACGAAACTCGTTAAGGGAGACTTTGGAAATGGAGCGTCGAAAAGCTCTCATGAGAACTCAATGGAACCCAGTGTGCCCAGAAAATAACCATGGAGGACCTGGAAGGTCCTTTTTGTTTTGGTTTTGCTGCTCGTCTTCTCAACCTCCAGGCTCCCAATTCTAATTAAAACGGGCTAATTAGGGTGCTGAAAGCAAGAGGTCCTTACAGATGCAAGCGCTTTCCCCAGCGCGTCGCCGGTCTGCGAGCTGCCGGCCGCCCCGCTTCCTCTGTTGGCTGGAAAACAAGAGATCCAGTGTGAAAACAGATGGAAAAACAGAGCACACTTTCACCTTCCAGGACCTTTCCAACTCAACCCATTCGTTCCCCTTCAGCACTTTCACCTGCAAGGACCCTTTCAACTCATTTCATCACCTTTCGACCTTTAAACCTTCCAGGACCTTTCCAACCCAACATATATCATCATCTTTTCACTCTTTCACCTTCCAGGACCTTTCCAACTCAACCCATTCGATCCACTTCAGCACTTTCACCTTCAAGGACCCTTTCAACTCATTTCATCACCTTTCGACCTTTAAACCTTCCAGGACCTTTCAAACCCAACACATATCTTCA